GCCAACACGATGAAACCCTGTCTCTACTAAAAATGCAAAAATTAGCCGGGCATGGTAGGATGCCCCTGTCATCCCAGTCACTTGGGAGGCTGAGGTGGGAGAATTGCTTGAACCCAAGAGGCAGAGGCTGCAGTGAGCCAAGATCACACCACTGCACTCTAGCCTAGGTGACAGAGCAAGACCCCATCTCAAATTAAAAAGAAATTTTTTTTAATTAAAATAATAAATAAAAATTTAAATATTCATAGAATTAGGCCAGGCACAGTGGTTCACACCTGTCATCCCAGCACTTTGGGAGGCCGAGGTGGGCGGATCACCTGAGGTCTGGAGTTCGAGACCAGTCTGACCAACATGCTGAAATCCTGTCTCTATTAAAAATACAAGGCCGGGCGTGGTGGCTCACGCTTGTAATCCCAGCACTTTGGGAGGCCGAGGTGGGTGGATCACAAGGTCAGGAGATCGAGATCACCCTGGCTAACACGGTGAAACCCCGTCTCTACTAAAAAATACAAAAAATTAGCCGGGAGTGGTGGCGGGCGCCTGTAGTCCCAGCTTCTCGGGAGGCTGAGGCAGGAGAATGATGTGAACCCGGTAGACGGAGCTTGCAGTGAGCCGAGATCGCGCCACTGTAGTCCAGCCTGGGCGACAGAGCGAGACTCCATCTCAAAAAAGATAACAAAAAACAAAATTAGCCAGACGTGCTGGCACATGCCTGTAATCCCAGCTAGTTAGGAGGCTGAGGCAGGAGAATCGCTTGAACCTGGGAGATGGAGGGTGTGGTGAGCTGAGATCGTGCCATGGGACTCCAGCCGGGGCAACAAGAGCGAAACTCCGTCTCAAAAAAAAAAAAAAAAAACAAGTTCATAGAATTTATAAGTTCAAATTTGCGCCCCAACTTGGACCCACTTGCTCACCTTCATCAGTTGCGGATCATCCCCTAGCACAGCACGAGTCACCTGGTGATAGTACTTGAGAAGGTCATCCGTCAGTGAAGACACAGCACTGGGCACTGCCAGAGGACAGGCAGGAAGCAGGGACAGATGGAGAGCTGGCCCTCTCCCGGCCTTTCCAGCCTCCTCCCGTTCAACCACCATCCCCACACACATCCACAAGAAGACTTTCAGTCAGGACAACCAGGGCAAGAGACTCCCACTGCTCTTCGGGTCTGCTCAGCCCTGACCATCTAGACTCCGCACACCTCTGTGCTCTGTCCTGTCTTCCACCCACCCTCTGCCGGACAGACTCCTGAGAGCTTCAGGCTCTGTGAAGCTCTGCTCAGCATACCCTGGGGGTGAAACACCGCCCCAGCATGCTGCCCAGACTTCCATCTTAGCATCCAACATGCTGCATCATGACTGGTTACAGGTCTGGGCTCCCATCTCCAACTCTGAGCCCTCTATGCAGAGCCCAGTGCCCACTTAGACCACGGCACAAGGCAGGCATGGGTAAACACATTAGATGCGGACTCGGGGGCACACAGGCACCACCCTCACAACCTAAGGGAGAAAATTCATCCCAAGGGCCTGTTTCCTACATCACCCCTTACCCGATCCTTGAGGTGCCAGGTTCCCTTTGCCATCCAGGTAGGAGACGTGAACTAGAAGCAGTGTAGAGAGATGTGTCAGCCTGGCGTTCTGCCCCTAGGAGTACTGCCTACCCCTCCAAGTTCTGCCTCTTCCACCAGCCAGCCCATCACCACTTCTCTTCACGGCCCAACTCCCATCCCCAACTCAGCAGGACCCCGGCAGCCACCTCTGACAGCTGTCTCGGCACAGCCTTTGGGGATGTTGGTAGCCAGGGCCAGCTCCACCAGGTTCACCTCTCGATCCTCAGGAAAGTAGAGTTCACCCTCCCTGGCGGGGCGCATGGGCAGGGCCTCCTGGGATCCGTAACCACATACAGCCTGAGGAAAAAGGGAATTGGAGAGCAGCCTGAATCCAGGGACGGAGCAGGTGTCAGGATCCAGGATGAGGCTCCACTGACCAGGGCAGAGAGCGCATGTTTGAGGGAAGTCCAGAAGTCCCAAGAAAAGTGGTGGAAGCCTGGGGCTCAGAGCCACCACTGGGGACTTGCCTGGAGCATCCTGGGCTCCTTGGGTCAAGGGAGAGAACATGGTTGCTCCTCCCATAACTGGAAGGGTCCTAAGCCCCACACCAAGCACTGGTCCTCCTTATTCACACTCACTCACTTTGAAAACTCACTAATGTCTTCTAAACATGGCCTTCCTCTCTCATCTCACTGCTCCAGAAAAACCACACCATGGCCGGGCGCGGTGGCTCACGCCTGTAATCCCAGCACTTTGGGAGGCTGAGGCGGGCAGATCACGAGGTCAGGAGATCGAGACCATCCTGGCTAACACGGTGAAATCCCGTCTCTACTAAAAATACAAAAAATTAGCCGGGCGTGGTGGCGGGCGCCTATAGTCCCAGCTACTCGGAGGCTGAGGCAGGAGAATGGCGTGAACCCAGGAGGTGGAGCTTGGCAGAGAGCCAAGATCGCGCCACTGCACTCCAGCCTGGGCAACAAAGCGAGACTCTGTCTCAAAAAAAAAAAAACCCCACACCATGAGGCCCTAACACTTAGCCTGAATGCCTTCTTTCCCTCTTGGCCTAGTTTAAGCCAAGCTCAAGTTCTTCACCACCCTTTAAGGCCCAGCTCTAGTCCCACCTCCTCCAAAAAGCTTTCTCTAACCTCTGGGCCCCCAGTGGCCTCCTCTCCCTCTTTTCTGAACACATAGCCCAGGTGGGCTAGGCCTAGCACCTGGTCTGCTGTTGCTGTCAGTGTCTTGCTTCTCTTATATGCGCGTTTGGTCTTTTCTTCTTTTTTTGTTTTGAGACAGAGTTTCGCTCTTTCACTCAGGCTGGAATGCAGTGGCATGATCTCGGCTCACTGCAACCTCCGCCTTCCGGTTTTAAGCGATTCTCCTGCCTCAGCCTCCCAAGTAGTTGGGGTTACAGGCGCCCGCAACCACACCCAGCTAATTTTTGTGTTTTTTTGTTTTTCTGACACGGAGTCCTGCTCTGTCGCCCAGGCTGGAGTGCAGTGGCGCAATCTCGGATCACTGCAACCTCTGCCTCCCAGGTTCAAGCGATTCTCCTACCTCAGCATCCTGAGTAGCTGGGGTTGGTTACAGGTGCCCACTGCCACAGCCAGCTAATTTTTGTATTTTTAGTAGAAATGGGGTTTCACCATGTTGGTCAGGTTGGTCTCAAACTCCTGACCTCATGATCTGCCCACCTCGGCCTCCCAAAGTGCTGGGATTTTAGGTATGAGCCCCTGAGCCCAGCCTTTTTTTTTTCTTTTTTAGAGACAGGGTCTTGCTCTGTTGCCCAGGCTGGAGTGCAATCTCAGCTCACCACAACCTCTGCCTCCTGGGTTCAAGCAATTCTCATGCCTCAGTTTCCTAACTGGGACTGCAGACATGCACCACCAGGCCCAGCCAATTTTTGTATTTTTAGTAAAGAAGGGGTTTTGCCAAGTTGGCCAGGCTGGTCTTGAAGTCCTGGCCTCAAGTGATCTGCCCACCTCAGCTTCCCAAAGTGCTGGGATTACAGGCATGAGCCACCACGCCCGGCAGCGTTTGGCCTTAATGTCTCGCCACACTGCCAGCCCTGAACTGGACATGGAAGTGGCCTCATGCCACCTGAGCCCTCTGTGGCCTGCACCCCACTCACCTCCACGCTGCTCCATCTGAGGGCCCTGTTGAAGTCCTCAACCGTCAGCTTCCGGCGTTTGGTGTGCTTCATGAACTGAGAACTATTCTGGAAGGGAGGGAACAGAAGCCAGAGTCAAAGGATGTGGAGCAGGGAGCGTGGGAAACCCCAAATGAAGTGGGCCAGACTGGAGAGAAGGCAAACAGGAGACCACGCTTAGCGATCAGAAGCACAGATTCCGGCTGGGCGTAGTGGCTCACGCCTGTAATCTCAGCACTTTGGGAGGCCGAGGCGGGCAGATCATGTGAGGTCAGGAGTTCGAGACCAGCCTGACCAACATAGTGAAACCCCGTCTCTACTAAAAGTACAAAAATTAGCCCGGTGTGGTGCCGGGCGCCTGTAATCCCAGCTACTTGGGAGGCTGAGGCAGGAGAATCGCTTGAACTCGTGAGGCGGAGGTTGCAGTGAGCCAAGATCGTGCCATTGCACTCCAGCCTGGGGCACAAGAGTGAGACTTTGTCTCAAAAAAAAAAAAAGCCTAGATTCTGTCTCTGTTCTTGTACAAAAACACCCCCGAGGTGTCACATCTTCTGTCAACACCTCAGTTTCTCACATGTAGAATGTGAGTATGTACCCGCTCTGCCTGCCCAGCGGGGCTGTTGTGAGGAGCACATGGGAAGACGCCTGGCAAGCGCTTTGTCTGCTGGAGGCCCAGACAGCTACAAGTAGAGCTCTGTAAAGGCGTGGACCGTCTCTGTTGTATGGAGCAGGCACCCAGTGTACACTTGAGTAAATCAATGAGGGTAGAGGTTGGTAAAAAGGCAGGAACAAGGACAGTTGGCGGTATCAGGGGGTGAGGGGAGTGTACCTGCGTGGCCTCTCTCAGACGATAGCACACGTCCTCCGCGAGCAGTGCCGCCACCTCATCGCTCAGCTCCAGGCCCGTGCTCTCCGCCATAAGCCGGACAGACTCCCGAGGGATCTCCACAAACCGCCGCTCCTCTCGCTCCGACATGGCCCCAGTGGAGCTGGGAGTGGAGAAGGAAGATTGGAAAAGCTGCCCCAGTCTCCTGGAGAGCCCAGGAGTGTGACCCAAGACCCTCCACACCAGCCTTGCTGCTCGTGCTCTGCCGTTTCTGAACAAGGAGCTCTGAGTACCCAGACGAGGAAACTGAGGCTCAGAGAAGGAAACAGACTGGCCAGTGGGACAAGAACAGTGAAGCTAGAGAAAGTCCAGGCGTTGGGGTTCACAGAACTAGGTCCCATTCCTGCCCTGTCACTTTCTATGTGAATTTGGCCAAGGTCTTCATCAGTCTGAGCCCTTGTGTCCTGAATTGTAAAACAGGCACGATAATCCCTGCCCTCTGCAGCTCACAGGGTTGCTATGAAAATGAGACGATTGATATGGTTTGGCTGTGTCTCCACACCAATCTCACCTTGAATTGTAATAATCCCCACGTGTCAAGGGCAGGACCAGGTGGAGATCACTGAATCAAGGGACCAGTTTCCCCCATGCTGTTCTCCTGACAGTGAGTGAGTTCTCAAAAGATCTAATGGTTTCCCCCTTTTGCTCGATACTTCTCCTTGCCGCGGCCACGTGAAGAAAGCCACGTTTGCTTCCCCTTCCACCATGATTGTAAGTTTCCTGAGGCCTCCCTAGCACTGTGAGTCAATTAAACCTCTTTCCTTTATACACTACCCAGTCTTTTTTTTTTTTTTTTTTTTTTTTTGAGTCTCGCTGTGTCGCCCAGGCTGGGGTGCAGTGGCACCATCTCGGCTCACTGCAACCTCTGCCTCAAAGGTTCAAGCAATTCTCTGCCTCAGCCTCCCGAGTAGCTGGGATTACAGGTGCCCGCCACCACACCCAGCCAGCTAATTTTTGTTATTATTATTATTTTTTGAGACAAAGTTTCGTTCTTGTTGCCCCCAACTCTCCTGCCTCAGCCTCCCAAGTAGCTGGGATTATAGGCACGTGCTACCAGGCCCAGCTAATTTTTGTATTTTTAGTAGAGACAGGGTTTCGCCATGTTGGCCAGGCTGGATAGTAGCTGGGCTTTCTGCCTATGTGTTTGGTCTTCCCCAGTTTGGCTGCAAGGCCTAAATGCAGGAACCTGTATTTTCACAGGATAGGGCACAATAAGAACCCGACAAAAACAGTAGCTGATGACTCACTCCAACAACCCACACCACAATGAGAAGGTAGGCTCACATGCGCCAAAGTGAGGCATCAACACCTCAGACAGGAAGGCCCAGATCCACGATGACCCACCCAGGCACTGCCCCCACTACTCCTCTGATAGGGATCAATGGGTCACCAGTGACGTCCAGGTCCCTACATCCAAGGGCAGCTATGTGGCTTCTGCGCAGCACTCTTCCCAATGGCTCCCCATTGTCTTTGAAATAAAGAACAAATTTGAACAACGGCTCTAGAAGCTCTGCATGTGCTGCCTACTTCTGCAACACCTCTTACCTCTTACCTCTTACTTTCTTGTGTTCTGCATTCCCACCTGTGGCCTCCTTTCATTTCCTCAAATACACCTATTTTCGGACCTTTGAACGCTGTTTTCTCCACTTGAAACTCTCTCCTCCCTGTCCTCCACCCCTAATCCCTTTGTCTAGTGAACTGCTACTCACTCCTTCAGATTTCGGTTCAAATGTCACCTCCTCAGGGATGTCTTCCTAGATCCCCCAATGTCCTTGCACTCTGCCTTCAAACCAGTTATAAGAATTTGTAGCCGGGCCCGGTGGCTCACGCCTCTAATCCCAGCACTTTCGGAGGCCAAGGTGGGCCTGCGACACCACGCCCGGCTAATTTTTGTATTTTTAGTAGAGACAGAGTTTCGTCATGGTAGCCAAGCTGGTCCGGAACTCCTGACTTCAGGTGATCCGCCCACCTCAGCCTCTAAAGTGCCGGGATTACAGGCGTGAGAAGAACGAGCCTGCCGGGATTACAGGCGTGAGAAGAACGAGCCTGGCCCGACGAGCTTTTTTTTTTTTTTTTTTGGAGACGTTTTTTTTTGGAGACGGAGTCTCGCTCTGTCACCCAGGCTGGAGTACAGTGTGGCGTGATCTCGGCTCACTACAACCTCCACCTCCCTGGTTCAAGCAATTCTCCTGCCTCAGCCTCCCCAGTAGCTGGGACTACAGGCGGACGCCGCTACGCCGGGCTAATTTTTTGTATTTTAGTAGAGACAGGGTTTCACCATGTTGCCCAGGCTGGCCTTGAATTCCTGAGCTCAGGCAATCCGCCGGCCTCGGCCTCCCAAAGTGCTAAGATTACAGGCGTGAGCCACCGCGCCGGGCCACGAATAGCACTGTACTATGCCTGAGACATAGCTAAGTGCTTTATATGATTACTTCACTATATCCTCAATAATACGATATTATTAGGTATTTCGTCTATTTCACAGGCAAGGAAATCAAAACTCAGAGGTTAAATGTTCCATTACTTCTCCAAGATCACGAAGTAAGCACTGAGTAAGTAGGTGGGGGAGCGGGGACTCAAACCCTTGCTCCTAATCATTACTCCATGCCGCTTCAGGAGCCGCCAGCTGTGTGGGGAACAAGGCCTGAATCCCAGCCCAAAGACATGGGTTGGAAACCCACCCCTCGGTGACCCGAGACCCGCCAATAGATCACTGTGAAGCTGCAGTTTCCCTATGTGTAAAATGGGAGTATTTAGTCCACCCGCGCGAAAGGCGCGGAGGAAGTTTCCTATTATATGCCAGTACACGAAGTCTAGACTGTGACCAAAGTCTCCCGCTCTGCAGCCACCTCTCCTCTGCATCCTCAGCCACTAGTCAAGCTGGCGAAGAGGCGTGGGAACTGACCTCCGCGGGCCGGGCCTCGGCGACGCGCATCCTCCCACCCGGCCTCGCCCAGCCCAGATCGGGAGTGGGGGGTGCGGGGGGAGGAGGTCAGGGGTCACTGAACTTGGGTCACGTGGTCTGCCAAGGGGGCGGGCCCCCGCGGAGCGGGCTCCAAGGCCGGTGAGTAAGCGGTCGGCGGCGGGAATGGGGAGTCCTTGGACCAGAGCAGGGCCTGCTCACCTGAAGACCCCGGCGTGGCGAAGGCTGCTACGGAGACGACGGCGGCGGGGGCGGCGGCAGCGGCGCCCACTCACCAGCTCACTAATTCCCTCTCCAGGGGCCCCGGCCCCGCCCTCCACAAGTACAGCCAATCGGCGGGCGCCTTGGAAAGTTTCCGGCCCTCTAGGAGGTTTCCTGGCTCCTGATTGGCTAGTGTGAACAGCCTGTAGAGACCTGCGGTCACGAGACGCTGAAGAGTCGCGCTTCTTAAAGCAACCTCTCTTGCTACGTTTGCGAGTAGGTGTGTATTATGTTTTGACACACGTTTAATAAGCATATTTTATTTTTTTACTCATCCCAGTAGTCACGAGGAAATAAACAATCTCAAGGACAGCGTCTTCATTTTCTTTGTCTTGTTCGCTCTCGAGTTTCTGAGCACCTGCATTTTCGCGGCTGAAGCAAAGCTTTAGATTTTGATGTCTGGCTTAGTTTTCCTGCCCAGCCTACCTCCCCAGCATCACATACCACTTCCCCTTCCTGAAGGGATAGATGGGGCTCTCGGTAGGTGCTCTCTGCAAGCAGAGGGGACTTCTGTTAAAGTTTTGTTTTTTTTTTTTTTAAATCAGTGTTGACCAGGTTGGCCTCGAACGTGTAGCCTCGCCTCCCCGCGTGCCAGGGCAACCGGCCTGAGCCAGCGCGGCTCCCTGCAGAGGGGACTTCTGACCGAGCCGAACATCCCGTGCAAGCTCCGGACTCCAGGGTTCTGCTCTTTCTGCGCCTACTTCGCATTCTGCCCAAGCCTGTGAACCAAATACAAGCCCTGGCCTGCCTTGCCTTGCATGACCGTTGAACACGCACTCTGACAGCTCTTTCTCCAACTCCCACTGCGATAACAGCTACTTGGGCAGTTCTCAATAGATAAGCAGTGGGCTTAGTGAGTAAAGGATGGTATTTGGAGTCAGACTGAGCTGGCTTAAAATTCTGACACTGCCTTTGGGCAAATTACCTAATATGGGGTAATAATGCGCACTTCACACAGTTGTTGTAAATTAATGTCTGAGAGTCTCTGTCAGAGTTGGAGGTTAAACTTTCTTTCCTGGCCGGGCACGGTGGCTCACGCCTGTAATCCCAACACTTTGGGAGTCCGAGGCGGGCGGATCACCTGAGGTCGGGAGTTCGAGACCAGCCTGATCAACATGGAGAAAAACCATCTCTACTAAAAATACAAAATTAGCTGGATGTGGTGGCACACGCCTGTAATCCCAGCTACTCGGGAGGCTGAGGCAGGAGAATCGCTTGAACCCAAGAGGCGGACGTTGTGGTGAGCCGAGATCGCACTACTGCACTCCAGCCTGGGCAACAAGAGTAAAACTCAGTCTCAAAAAAAAAAAAGCCTAGATTCTGTCTCTGTTCTTGTACAAAAACACCCCCGAGGTGTCACATCTTCTGTCAACACCTCAGTTTCTCACATGTAGAATGTGAGTATGTACCCGCTCTGCCTGCCCAGCGGGGCTGTTGTGAGGAGCACATGGGAAGACGCCTGGCAAGCGCTTTGTCTGCTGGAGGCCCAGACAGCTACAAGTAGAGCTCTGTAAAGGCGTGGACCGTCTCTGTTGTATGGAGCAGGCACCCAGTGTACACTTGAGTAAATCAATGAGGGTAGAGGTTGGTAAAAAGGCAGGAACAAGGACAGTTGGCGGTATCAGGGGGTGAGGGGAGTGTACCTGCGTGGCCTCTCTCAGACGATAGCACACGTCCTCCGCGAGCAGTGCCGCCACCTCATCGCTCAGCTCCAGGCCCGTGCTCTCCGCCATAAGCCGGACAGACTCCCGAGGGATCTCCACAAACCGCCGCTCCTCTCGCTCCGACATGGCCCCAGTGGAGCTGGGAGTGGAGAAGGAAGATTGGAAAAGCTGCCCCAGTCTCCTGGAGAGCCCAGGAGTGTGACCCAAGACCCTCCACACCAGCCTTGCTGCTCGTGCTCTGCCGTTTCTGAACAAGGAGCTCTGAGTACCCAGACGAGGAAACTGAGGCTCAGAGAAGGAAACAGACTGGCCAGTGGGACAAGAACAGTGAAGCTAGAGAAAGTCCAGGCGTTGGGGTTCACAGAACTAGGTCCCATTCCTGCCCTGTCACTTTCTATGTGAATTTGGCCAAGGTCTTCATCAGTCTGAGCCCTTGTGTCCTGAATTGTAAAACAGGCACGATAATCCCTGCCCTCTGCAGCTCACAGGGTTGCTATGAAAATGAGACGATTGATATGGTTTGGCTGTGTCTCCACACCAATCTCACCTTGAATTGTAATAATCCCCACGTGTCAAGGGCAGGACCAGGTGGAGATCACTGAATCAAGGGACCAGTTTCCCCCATGCTGTTCTCCTGACAGTGAGTGAGTTCTCAAAAGATCTAATGGTTTCCCCCTTTTGCTCGATACTTCTCCTTGCCGCGGCCACGTGAAGAAAGCCACGTTTGCTTCCCCTTCCACCATGATTGTAAGTTTCCTGAGGCCTCCCTAGCACTGTGAGTCAATTAAACCTCTTTCCTTTATACACTACCCAGTCTTTTTTTTTTTTTTTTTTTTGAGTCTCGCTGTGTCGCCCAGGCTGGGGTGCAGTGGCACCATCTCGGCTCACTGCAACCTCTGCCTCAAAGGTTC